CGGCCCCCGGCCCCATGGCGCGCCGGTCGCAGTGGGGAGGGTGGTTCAGCGCTCTGGGGCGGTCGGTAGAGGATGGCCAGTGAAGGAAGCACCGAAGACGGAGATCGGACGTCTCCTGGACTGAGCGACGTGGTTTTATTTGCGTGAGGTCCCCAAATAACCATTTCTGCCTTTCTTGCCAGTAGAAGGGGGGAAAAAACTAAAGAATTTATCTGTATGAGAAAGGTGGGCGGGCTCAGAGGTGTTTGCAAGCCAGGCGTTGAGCCCTTGTGCCGAGCTGTGCCCCTGCTCCCCTCGCTGGGAGCCGCTGCCCTCCCTGTGCCCACACTGGATTTCAGTCCGGCAGAAAACAGGGCAGCAGCGATCGAGATGTGGCATCGCTTGTGCCAATCTAAAGTCACCTGCTTTTAAAGTGTCTGGTGATTCACGTCCCCCGCTGCAAACGCGCAAAGCAGCAAGGCAGGGCAGCGCTGGCAGCAAGCTTGGTAATGAGTTTATGCTATCAAATAGTTCTAATTAAATAAGTTTAGAACAGAGCTTGCACCCCGGGATTAGGAGCGGTCTGGTTTTGCTCGGTGTGAACCTGCTGGGAGCCACGGAGAGCGCTGGGGGACAAACAAGGGGAGTTGCTGAGGTTCTGCTCTGCAAATGGTTCCCAGTTCACTCTTTGGTGCTTAAACTGGTGCAGCTCGGAGCTGTGGGAAACAGGTGGCTGCTCCGTGTTGTCCCTGGGCTGTGGAGAGAGGAAAATTGCGCTCATACGTCACGTTTCAGTATTAATTCTATTGTGCCTTAGTGCTGAGAATTTGTCCCATTTATATCGGTATAGCTGTTCTTGTAGTCCTCATAGACAACTGTATTCCCCCCTAGTGTTTTTGTCTCTCAAAGTAGTGGTTGTTGGTTTGGTTGTTTGGTTTCTTTTTTTTTTTAAACTGCGGTTTTACTTTGACCTCTTAATTTACAACTTTCATACTGATATTGTTGGAATAGCAAACAGTTTCTTGATGTAGTTTTCAATTTGTGTTGTTTTCCTCTGTCAGTCTCTTCCCCCCTGCCCCATGTCCCCAGGGGAACGCAAGGGTTTAATTCTACTCTTGACGGTGGAGTTAATAGGCGCAGAATTGTTTTGACTCTGCAGGGCAGGGGAGGAGATGCAGCGCTGACTGATCAAAACCCAAGTTTTCGGGAGCTGGCGTAGCGGGTGTCTGGTGTAAATTATCGGTCTCGGCACAAAAGCCGCGAGCTTCCCCACCCAGTGTGCTGCCGAGGACATCGGGTTCTGCCAGCGGAGAGCCTGGCATGGAGCTCGGGCTGCCTGGATCCGAGCTGCCTGCGTGTTTATGGCAGAGCAGGGAGGAAACGGCGCGCAAGGTTCCAAGCGGCCAAAAAAATAAAAACATCTGCAAGATTCATGTGTGGGTTTTTGGCAGAGCCTGCCAGCCCTCTTCCTCGGAGCTCATCGCCTCTGCGCTGGCGCCAGGGTTGGCCTCGGCTTGTGACCTCTCTTCTGATTCTGACCGACTTGGGGGGCAGGAGGAGGTGGTCAGGTTCCAGTCTTCTCTGTTGGCATGTGAGATGACAGGGAAAGTTGTCTTTTACTGACTTTCCCTTATTTTTGGTGGGGGGAAGAGAGGGTTGGCTGGCATTGCCGTTGGTAACGGAGCTAAAGAAATGCCCGGCTCGCTCGCTGACCATGCTGTTGACAGATGGGTTTCCTCCATCCTCAGAGTGCCCGAGGTGCTGCTGCTGGGCTGCACGTCTGGGCTTTTGCCAAGTTATATCTGCTAGAAATGGAAAAGATCAAGAAGTTCCGTGGTCTCGGAGCTTGTGCCCGTGATGCTGGAAGGAAGGGGGAGCCCCCAGGTAGCGTCCGACTTGGCCCCTGCCGCTACCAGCCCAGCTGCCCGGCTTGCCTCCCCCTGCCCCTGTACAACGCCTCTTTGTGTGCCGCTTCCCCGAAGTACAGAGAGTCCCCTCCACCTTGGAGCGTCTCCCGGGAAGGAGGGATCCTCTGCACTTTCCGAAGCCAAGGGGCTCGAATACACAGAGGGCCAGTAATGCTTCTAAACTTCCTGGCACGCAAACGCTGGCGCTGAAAGAAATGCCTCTGCCCTGGGAGAGGTGCCACCGGCAGGGACGGCCCCGAGAGGAAAGGCAGCGCTCCTATAATGCATCCTAATGCATCAAGGTTGAGCAGCTCCACACAGGCAGCCTTTGTCACCGTGGGCTTGTGCCCTGGTACATCTGCGAGAGATCCTGGCAGCCCCTGCAGCTGATTCTGTGGGAGGCTTTGGCAGCGCTGAAAGATGTAAGAAAGTTTTGCAAATTAACTTCAGTCAGCCAGTCCCTTCCGGAGGAACACTGAGAGCGATCGTTACAGCTACAAAAGAGCCAGGCTCCTAACAGGCTGATATCCAGCCCAGACGTCTTCCCTCAGCAGCGCTCCTTGCCTGAAGGGCTTGGGTCTTAAAAATATTTTGCTCTTCACTGCTGTTCTCCTGCCCTGCATGAAAGGGAAGGGACTTGGGCAGATGTGTGGACAAGAAGGGAAGCAGGATGCAGTTCCCAGACAGACTTTACCCCAGGAGATGAGTTAATGCCTCCCCTTACAGCCGCTGAAGGCGTCCTGGCCCTTCGGCAGGCTCCCCGCGCTGGGTACCGACCCCGTCAGCGACATGCTGCACCCCAGGAGGCAGCTCAGCCCCGCTCCCCGCTGGGAAAAGCATGGAAACACAGGTTGCCCATTCTAGTAGCCATGGTTGGTTTAAAAGGGCTTCTGTAGTTACTGAGCAGATTCAGCTCTGCCCAGCTTGTTACGCATTTAGAGAACCCATTCCGAAGATGCTCGACTGTACAACTTATTTTACGGTCATCATCTAACTTCTTGAGAAGATAAAGGATGCAGTTTTTCCAGTGTCCCCAAATGGGAACATCTGGCATAATGTTTGAAGGCTGGTTCTTGTTAGAACCTCACTTCAGAACAGCGAGGAGGTTAGTTTGTCTCAGCGTCTCAGGCCCAGGCTATCGCCGTAGCTGTTACCTGGAAGCGCCTGCCTTGCTGTGTGAAGGTAAAAAAAGGAGCTCACCGGAGCAGTGCAGCAGCAGCCGCCCTTCTGGAGCTTGGCTCGTTAACGACCCAGTCTCCAGGAGGAGATGGCTGACTCTCACCCCTGGCCCTTTGGACCATTGCCTTTCCCCCTGATCATTGCGAGTTCCCAAAGGAGGTGAGAGCCGAGGCCGAAGCGCGGTGCGGCCGCTCTTCGCCCTCGGGCAGCGCGCCTGGTGGCGGCTGTTCCACCCGGCCTGTCACCGAGCCATCAGCTATTCTCGGTGCTACCCCACATAACAGCTCCGGTTTATTTTTCTGCTCTGGATCTCCTGCCATGCTTTTTTCTCATTCTGTGGGAGAACATCTTGTTTCCTTAATTTTTAGCTCGAGCAGAGTCCAAAGAAATCAGAGTTTGTAAGTTAATATTTAAAATAGCAGAAGATGCTTCCAGAAGCGGATAAAGTTTGTTTTCTGGTGGCCTCCAGGAATGTGTGCTGTACCTTGAGAGAAGACAAAGGGGAGTCCAGGGTGGTGGTTTTCATGTTGGGCCTCTGCATTTAAAGACTGGCAGAATCGGGCAATGTGGTCTGGGCTTGGAACTGGAGGTCTCAATTCCCATTCTACCCAGTGAGATCTAAAAATACAAGCAGAGTTTTCCTGGCATTTTCTTTTTAAGAAAAAACACAATGATTTAAAGACTACTGATCATTTTCTGCTACAAGCTACAACCCAAGTATGGGAGGGGAAAAAAGAAGTCTCTTGGCAGCGACCCTTTGGTGTGGGTTGTGAGTACTGGGTATTCTGGGTATGGGATTGAACGTTCTGGGCACCATCTCAGATCTCCCATCCAGCAATGTCAGGCGGTTCAGTTATAGTGGGAAGATAAAAATAAAAATGAGAATTTGATTGGAATTCTGCACTGCAGTAACTTTTTGCCACACAGCATCTCGTACATGCATATTTTCTCTTCCGCGCTGACTTTCTTTTAATGGTTGCCATGTGTGACTGCTACTTCACACCACTTTTTTTTTTTTAAATAGGGAAAAAAAAAAAAAAGAACCTGCTTTCTATCTTTTTTTCTCCTCTTTGTTCCTCTCTTACGTGGTTTTCAGTTTGCGGAGGGCATGTCTGAAAAAGAAAGTGGGAGGGCAGGCAAGGGAAACAGCCCCCAAACACAACACCGGTGGGCTCCTGCTGCGCTGCCCGTTGTCACTGTTGCTGTTTAATGTTGAACTTGTGTGTGTGCCAAGTTCTGGACCTTTCTTTGATTAACTTTTTTTTTTTTTCCCCTCTTATACCAGCATTTCATGCCTATGGAAAAGCAGGAAAAATGTTGGTGGAAACAAGGTAATCTGCTCCTTCTTTAAAGCTTGAATAGTTTGGTTTTTGTTAATGAAAAGTACTGCTCTGCAGCCTCTGGTGGGCTCACTGCACTCTCCTTTCTTATCCTCCTTCCTTCTCTGGTCCCAGAAGTCTTCCTGGCCACCTAGGATTTGAACAAGAGCGTAGGTGAGATCCCCTAAGCAGAGCTCGCAGTTGTCGCCTTCAGCATGTCCCACCCGTTCCCGAGTGGAGACAGGAGCGCTTTCCAGATAGTGGGAGCACAGAAGTCGGGGAATGAACTCATCTCCCGCTCTGCCGCGTGTGCTATGAAATCATGGGCATGTCACTGGTGGATGTTTTCCAGGGGTGAAATCCCTGCCAAGATTGCCGTGAGTTAGTGGGAGGGAGAGCGTTCAGTACCTCGGATCCACCCTTTAGCTGCTCTGCTCCTGCCCGCTCCTCGTGGCAGGCGCCGCTTTTCCTCTGCGAGACCTCAGGCGTTAGGAGATGCCTTGGGAGGGGGGGGAAATCCCATCTCCGTTTCAGAACAGACTCCAGTTCCTTCAGATGATCCCAATCCAAGTCGGAGCTCCCCCACAGGTCTCGTCCAGCAGTCGTGACGGGCGATGGGACCTCGTTACAGCACTGCTTTTTCCAGCAGAGTTCTTGGAGTGGAGGCGTCTTGAGCCCAGGCCAGTGAGTGGTGCTGGCTCCTTCCCTCTGCCCAGTGGCAAACTGCTGCAGGACACTAAAAATACACAGAATATTTCTCAGATGTTACTTGTCCGTGCAAGCGAGTGCTGTAATTGCCACAGGGATGTTATATAATTGGAACTGGGAGGGAAAGTGGTCCACGCAATCACGATCGGGAGGAGAAGCCGTTCGTAAGACAATATTTTCATTAAAGCGTGGTTCATTTTGTGGAGAGAGGTTTGAGAGCCCATTTGATATTGAGACTTTCATGGTAGGCGCCCGCTGTGGGGCGTGGAGCTGAGAGAACCTCTTGCTGATTCTTTTTAAATGTTTTTTCCGAGAAATAAAGGAGTTCTTGCCATCTCCAATGTCTCTCTTTTTCCTGTGGCTCCAAACAGCAGTTAAACCCATGCATGGGGCGTTCCCAGAACGGCATCTGAAGCTACAGTGTTAGGTGTGAATGTGGGGTGGATGGAGGTTCTCTGGTTTTTATTTCTTGAGGGTTGCATGCAGAACTGGTGGCCTGCCTTTCGCCAGCCTGAGGGTAAGAGCGTGGTCCTCCCCGCTAGCACCGGCAGTGGTGCCCAGCCTGCTCGTGCGGCTGTGAGAGTGAGCTCGCAGCCCGCTGGATCCCTCTAGGCAGAAAACCTACTTTATTACTGCTTGCCAAACGTGTGTTTTTCAGGGCGGGTTCAGCAAAATTTGGGGCTGGTCTCCACCACGAAAGGCCAGAAAGTTGTGACAGAGGGTGGATGTACGCTGAAGCAAGGCACGCAGAGGCTGCTCTACCTCTGAACACAAGCAAGTGGCTGCACAAGATTCTAAATCGCTCTAAATGTGCCCTTTTAGCTGTTTCTGTTTAACTCTTCTGGATATTCCTTGGTAAACGGCGGGTGCAGTGGGATCCAAAGTTATCGTCAGCTCTTGCGGTTGTGTGCAGGGTGTAGCCCTTGAGCCCTTGTCAGTGCCAAACCTTTGTCTTAATCCTTCACCGGCGGCTGCCGTGTGCGTGGGACGTCTCTTGCTCCCGCTGTACAAGCTGTAGCCCCCAGCTACAGCAGTCCCAGGCAGCGTCTGCGGGTGTCTCTAAGGTAGCCTTAGCATTAACAAAACCTCATCCTCTTGCGAGGGCTGCGCAGAGTACGAGTCTGCTGGGAATGTGGCTGCTGAAACACGCCTGCCCGGGAGCAGCGTTCCAGGGTTCCTGCTCCAGCCTCCTAACCTGTCTGTACTTTGTTGTTTTTGCAGCATGATTGGGCTGATGCTGGGAACTTGCATTGCTTTCTATGTTGTCATTGGTGATTTGGGGTCCAACTTCTTTGCCCGGCTGCTTGGATTTCAGGTAAATAAATCCTCACTGGAACGCATCCACAGTGATCCCAATTCTTCTTGCATCGAGCCACGCGTGCCTTAGGTAGGGTGAAGAGCATCCTGCCTTAGTAGCGTGCTCAGCAGCCTCCCAGGCGTGTGGGGTCATCCCGTGGTGAGCTTTAACGGCACGCCTTGTGCATAGAGCACGTACCTCTATGAAGTCCTGGAAGCCCAGACATATGGTGAACAATCAGATGCGTAAAACCCCCAATAAGGCGCTTCCAACAAAGGAATTCTTTTTAACTTGGTCTCTATTAATTCTGGAGCAGATTCCCGGAGGAGATGATGCTTCCTGTACTAATTCCTGCCCCTAACGTGTAGTGACAGGCAATTCCTCTGTCCGAGCTCTCACCCCCTTGCAGCCCTCTGCTTCAAGAGGGATCTTTTGTGCTGTCCCTTGCTGGTTTGGTGGCCAAGTTGACTGTGTGCTTGCCTCCTCTTGAAGGTAAAATAAGCCGTGTGATGAGCCTGGTGTTGGCTCACGATGCATGGTGGCAAGAGGTGCTCCTTGTGCTGGAGAGCTGTGAGCAGCAGTGCTCGGAGCCGGCGCGAGGGCCGTGCGGGGAAGGAAAATGGACGTGTGGAAGGATTTTTGGCGGGGCTGTTATCTGCTCCGCCTGATGCTGCTAAGCTCCGATTAAGGGACTGTGAAGTTAAAAAGATGCGCTGTGGCTGCAGCCAAATTAGGTATTAAATATTTCCAAGCATTTCAGAGTGTTCTGCTATAATAAATACCAATGCGAGGTTTTGATTAATTTTCTGGATCAGAATTTTCAAGGCTTCAATCTCTTCTTTCCCAAGTAAGTTTAGTTTGTATTGAATTGCATGAAAATACTTAAAAAGCTTGTGCTGGAATAGCATTTAACACTACAACCCCCCCCCCCCCAGTACTTCCACTTCAGGATGGACCTGTCACGCACTGTGTAGAGCAACAGTGGCACCCAGTGACTGTATAAGCTAATCACAGACCTAGCCCAAGAAATGGCAAGCTGTCAGCATCAAATCTTTAGATACGTACAAAAGCAGAATTTCACATTTGAAATCGATCCTGGCTTTGCGTGGTTTCTCACTCTGGAAAAATCAACCACGTCGGGGGTTGCTAATTTGGTGGGATGTCTTGAGTATCCTCCGTGCTGCAGTTCTTTATGCGGGTCCCTTTTCCAGGTGTCGGGCAGTTTCCGGATAGTCCTGCTCTTTGCCGTCTCCCTGTGCATTGTGCTTCCACTGAGCCTCCAGCGGAACATGATGGCCTCCATACAGTCGTTCAGTGCCATGGCGCTGATCTTTTACACCGTGTTCATGTTCGTGGTGAGTACCGACACTGGGAATGCTCTCTTCCTGTTGTTTTAACACAGATGTTCCCGCTGGGACAGCCTGCAGGTGCAGGCCTCAAGTTTAAAACGTCCTTCCTGATAATTAGCGCTGTTAGCGCTGGGCATAATGAGTGATCTTGAGCTGGTGGAGGTGGTCTCCAGGCTGTAGAAACCGGCCAGTGGGTCTGTAAGCTATTACAAATGCTAGGGACTGTGGTGGCACAAATAATAATAAACCACAAATCGAGTTGTGGTTTATTCTGCTTGTTGGCGTCTTCTAATTTAGGGCTCTTTAAATCAAAGGATGGAAGATGTGGGGAAGAGTGCCTGGGAGCAGAAGGACTTTCATCATGCGTTAGTCTTTTGCCTCGAAAACCTCAGTGCTTCTGATCTGTAGGGGGAAGGCAGTTCTTGTTAAGAACTCAAGCGTGTACTTTGCATTTTTTTTTGCAGCTGATGGTTAATCTCTTTCAGGCTGCAAGTAGTTTTATTTGTTAGGCACCAGCATTTCTATTTTTGAGCATTGAAAGCTTCGTAAAGCCTTAAGTCTGGTACGTGCCCTATACTTGTTCTTGGATATTTCTAGAGAAGCTTTTCTTTACTGAGGTGAATGGGTTCTTGACCCAGGTAGCAGGGTAAGCTGAGAGCTCCCTAAAGCCTGCCCTGCTTGGCATGGCCAAGCCCCATTGTACAGCACCGTGTACTGAGAGGTGGAGGCTTTCACTTGCTTTTTAATGACTTCACGTTTTGCCTCACGGATGCTCACGTGGTTTGCTCGTGGAGCCACAGCCCTGTCTCCCAAATTTCAGGCCTGGAAGAGCTAAAACAAAAGGAAGAAAAGGGAGGTGTGGAAATTCTTTCCACTTAACTTTTTTTAGTAGGTTGTGCCGGGTCATGCTTCTGAGCTTGCCTCCGTAAGGAGGCTGTAAGCGAGTGTTTTGTAAAACTGCCGTGTTCCAGGAGCTGTGCCTTTAAGGAAACCACAACATTTTGTGAGAGTTGGCTGCACTAAGACATAATCTCTGGGGATTAGAAAACCCCCATTCAGGCCATATTATAAACAGGCATTCAGACATATTTACCTTCTGTTTCCTGTGCAACCCAATGCCTGCCAGTTTCCCTGTCAATGGCAAAAGCTCCCCTGGCCTTGTCTGGGTGCCTCGCTCCCCCCGTTTTCATGACGTTTATCCTTGTCTTTGGTGAACTGGTGGTATTAAATGGCTCTGGAGTAGCAGTGTGCAGGTGGGATCCTGGTTTAGGAACCTTTGTCTCTCTCCATTGAACAGGATTCTCCCAAGGCAAATGTTGCTTCCCGTTTGGATTTAAAAACACGTTTAAAAAAGTCCAGAAGAAATTGCTGGGAACGATAATTCTCCCAGTTAAATGTGTCAGTGGAAATTGTTCCACCCTGGTGCATGCTACGATGGCTGATGGCATCAAACAAGGGGGAATGTTGCAGATCTTTTAAAATACACCCCAGGATCCTTGGTGGCAAGGGGCCTATGGAGGTTGCTGGGAGCTTTAATAAGGTGGGTGGGTGGGGTGGGGAATGTGACGAACAGCAACCGGGCTGCGGTAGGCAGCGTAAGCTGTTCCTCGCAGAGCTGCCACACGCTGCCTTTCATCCCAGCACCGGCATTACTGCTGCCGTGAAGTTGTTTTGGGCTGGATCTCAACCCCTTCTCTTTCTCTTGGCTACAGATTGTGCTGTCGTCCTTCAAGCACGGCCTCTTCAGCGGGCAGTGGCTGCAGCGAGTTAGTTACACTCGTTGGGAGGGCATTTTTCGCTGCATCCCCATCTTCGGCATGTCTTTTGCCTGTCAGTCGTAAGTACCTGCTGTTCTCACTTCTGGCAGTTGTGGTGCGCAATGAGTTTTTGTGAGGGCAGAGGGTCATGAGGATCTGCAAGGGATAGATACCATCTGGTTTCCTATTTTATTTTAATCAAAATATTTTACAGCCCACTGAAGTACAGCATCTCATTCAGTTGTGACCCTTTTGCTACCTAGATGGGGGAGGGAGTTATATTTCACTTGGGAGTTATTGTACTTGAGCAACACAAGATCATCTGGGCCGAACAGATCCTCACTGTAATGTGTGTTGCTTCTGGTACAGCTGCAGAAGTGATGAATTCCCCCTGTTTCTTGAGGGAAATGATTTAGTACCAGGAAAGGCAGCAGGGCTGTGTCGCCTAATGACCACAGGGCCCCCTGCAGGGTCGCGTACACTCGCGCCTGCTCTTTGCTTCCCCGAATTTCTTTGAGAATCCTCAGAAGATCGCACAGTCGTTGGCTCTGGAGAGTTGTTCGCGCGTTTCCAGTTACCCGCTTTTAATGAGGGTTTCCGCTGGCACGTGGAAGGGCGTGATGGTGGACTGGGCTATCTTCACGTTTCTAGCAGCATTACCTTCTGCACCAAAATGGCAAGTGAGCAATATGTGCCTGGCCAGAATAGTAACAGACTTTAAATAGAAGTGTAAATCCAAATGTGGACACGGAAAAGACCATCCTCATTTGGAAGGCTGGCAGAGTCGGGCTTTCCCCCCTGTAGTTCTAGCAAATGGGTAGCATGCCAACAGTAAATGAATGTGACAGATAAAATTTGTTCAGACTGCTGTGTTTACACCCACACGCAAGATCCAAATCATCATTTTCCACTCATCGGCTCGCTTGGCAGCTCAGTTCCTACCCGAACACGCTCCAGTCTTGCTGTTTAATGTCTCCATTACAACTGGCGAAGGGAGCTGCAGTCTTTTACAGCTTTACCTTGTTAAGATTTTAGAGTTTTTAAATTCCAATTTCTTTTTTTTTTTTCTCTTATGGTAGCCACGCAGTACCCAGCACAATTTTTCTGGGAGTTGGGAATGCAGGGAAATCGTTTGGTCTGGACCAGTGTGCGCGTACCTAAATATAGGCTCCATTACAGCACTTACGTGGCAAGCCAAACCTAAAGCTATGCATTTTTTCCAAGCATCGGGGCAATGTGCTATCCCCAGCCCAGGCGATCTTTATAAGCATGTTATTCTCAGCTAGGCAAGTTTAATTTTGCTAACCTCTGAATCACCTTTTTAAAAAATAAATAATTCTAACATAAAGCAGAAATCCTTTTCCTTCAGCACGTAAACGCAGCGTACGGTAAGGACAAATAAATGCGCTATTATTCTGGCTTGAAAAACTTGACCCCGCTTTACTTGCGAGTTCGGTACCCTTCGCTCTTTAAAAGCTATGCTGTTGTTGCTGAAGTTGCAAAGTAGGTCGCTCCCCTACAGTTATGTAGCGTGGAAATTTGCTGTGGAACTGAGAGCTGGGAGTGCGAGGACTCCAGGGTTACCTCTGCTGCAGCCTCCTTGTGTTACCTTGGTCAAGTCACTGAACCCTCTAATTAAAGAGGAGTCAGTAGAGCTTTCCAGGAGAAAACTTCTCATTTCTGGAGATGGCTCTTCTGGCACGGATGGATGCGGAAATGCTGAGTCCACAGGGATAATACACGTCAGGATGGTGTTCGTTGCCCCTGCGAGCATCAGCTCCCCGCAGGCTGAGTTAGTACCGTGCTCGGAGAGCCTGCACAAGGCGGTCCCTGCGGTGAAGGTGAAGAGCAGGAGCTCCGAGGTAGCTCTGGCCATCTCTGAAGCAAGGCTGCTTTCTCCGAGGCTGCTCTTCATGCTTGTGCTGACTTGCCTGCTCTCTGCTCAGGAAGAACCACCCAGTCGTGCCCTCTTTGAGGTGCAGCGTAACAGATAATGGGGGGGGAAGGATCCCTGATGCTCCACTGGCCTTCAGAGCAGTCATTTTGCTTAAAAATAAACCCCAGGCGTGTCAGCTGCCTGTTGCATGCTTCTTGTCCTCTTGCTCTGCCTTGAGAGGTGGTGATGGTCAGGGGGGCCCAGCAGCATGTCGTGGGGGCTTGAGGGACACCGTGCTGGTCCTCCAAACCCAAGCTGAGCAAAGGGGTGCCCTTAGGTGATCGCAGGAGGCCTGGGTGCAGCTGGACTTTGCATGGCACTTTTCCCCGTGTCGATGCTGTTGCTCCCGCGCTAACACAACCTGGCTTGGCCGTGCCATCCCACGCACTGCAGAGCCTCTCTGCTTCCCTGCTGGTCCCCTTCCCCTCATGGGGCTGAAGTCTGGGATGTAGTCAGTTAACCTAGCGGAGGTTGCTGGGTTGAGGGCAGGGAGGAATCCGAAATGCAGAGCCTCCTGGGGAAGCCGGTCTCGCTCCCTGCCGGTAAATGGCTGTCACGCTGCTGCGTTCACAGACCCCGTGCGTCTCGCGGGTTCCTGCCAGCCGATGTGCTCGGCTTCCTTTGTGCAGAACCGTTTGATGTTAAGGGATTAAGGGTTAAGGATTTTTCTGCTTGGCCTCAGCTCGACACACTTTCTGTTAATGGCTTTGTGCCCACTGGAGCTGGGGATACCCCCTTCCCATCTAACTGGATGCTCCCCCCCTTTCTCGTGAGAGTTCCTTCAGTAACATGAAGCCAGGATGTAGCCACTTGAATTAAAGTAACAAGAGGTTAATGAGTTGCTAAAATATGCACCTGATGTCAAGAAGTACATTCCACATGCTTTCCAGGTCTGTAAATACCCCAAATCCTGTGTAATTGGTGCTCCCAGCTTTCTATGAACTGAGCTCTCGCAGCAGCAGCAGCGCTGAAATATGACAGGCACTGCATTTAGCGTTGTTTGTTTAACTTTTCTTTTAGACAGTGCGATGCTCTAACCTTCTTCCTGCTTTTACTCTGTAAACACTGCGTTACTTTAATTATCAGCGTAGAGAGCTCCAAGAACAATAATCTCCAATGCACTGCCTGGCCTGGTGCCACTGGTGTTTCACTGGAACAAACGGTCATTCATTTTGCAACACTTTTGAACCAAAATGTTTACATCACACGTTTAGCTCCACGTGGTGGGGTGGGGAGAGCAGGAATATTTTTGCAACACTTAAAGTTATGAGTGTTCTGAAATCTCTTGGCATTAGCAATATAAATTCTGGAATAGCAGCGAGTGTTTATGCTCCGTAGGGGGAAGGTGTCAGGGATTCTTTGCTGCTGGGCTGAGGCAGGGAGCGTGCTGGAGTTGGGTTTTTCTCTCTCTCTCTCTCTCTCTGCAAGAAGGTTTCCTTAAATAATTTACCCTTTTCTACAGTCAGGTCTTGCCTACCTATGATAGCTTGGATGAGCCGTCTGTTAAAATCATGAGCTCCATATTTGCTTCTTCCCTAAACGTGGTCACCACCTTTTACATTACGGTAAGAAACTTCCCCTTCTCCTTCCTTGCCAGAAGTCACGCTCTGGAGGGCAACAGGGATGACGATTTATTTTCAGTTGGGGCTGGTTTCTGCTTATCTGTATTTATTCTGAAAGATAAGTAATTTTGTGGAAAGCAAAATTAGATGGGACATGATGAACCAAACAGTGCAGGAGGCATTTGGAGAGTCCAGATTTCCAGAGTGGCACATTTCCTTGGGCGGCGGCAGAGTGGAGACCCAGCTCTTCATGTGCATCAGCCTGCTGTCTGCCTTCCAGGGCCTAGCCTGGAGCTGGAGATGCCCCCCTCCGAATGGCGGAGAGCTTCCCTCAGCCTGTTGCAATTGGAAAGATGTGGAGGAAGTTATGCCTCATAAAGCACCAGTTAATAAAACCGAGTTAATAATTCCCGAGAAGAGCCTGCCCTTCCCTACTGCTGCGGGGAATCGTTACGGCCCCTCCTTCGTCGGAGGGGGCCGGTCCACGGGCCTGGCAGCAAGCAGGGCGTCACTGCTCTGTGTCACGGGCAGCGGCAGCGTTCCCTCGCTGCAACGTCCTCCCTGCAAGCCCCCTGGATTTAGTGAGAAACTTGCCTCTGCTTTTAGGAAGGTCCCACTGTTCCCTTAACCTCCTGTCTGAACTTTTGGGGGTGCTGCAGCTGGGGCTGCTGGCAAGTTGCCCATGGAGGTGGCCCCCACGCTCCCTCCTCGGCTGGCTGGCCCTACCTAACTCATGGGAGGTCGCTGACCTCCATCCACCCTGTTGTAAAGAGCAGATTTGAATGTGCTTTGGAGTCAAACCCCATCCGCTCACCTCCCCTCCTGCCGGACAGGTGGGCTTCTTTGGCTACGTGAGTTACACTGAAGCCATTGCTGGGAACGTCCTAATGAACTTCCCTTCCAACCTTGTGACGGAGATGATTCGAGTGGGATTCATGATGTCGGTAGCTGTGGGGTTTCCGATGATGATTCTCCCGTGCAGACAGGCGCTGAACACCCTTCTCTTTGAGAAGCAGGTAAGATCCTCTTGTGTGGCCAGGAGCAGCTGGCTGCCTTGGTGTGCACCTTTAAAACTTGCTTTTTGAAGGGCTACTTGTGACTCTTTGACTTCTGCTGCTGGCTGGCGACCCGGGCTACAAACATGCCTTGGTTCTGTGAGACTCCGTTGACAACTGCGTGTTTCTGACTCGTGGTAGGTACTCGCTGTCCAGAGGGACAAACCCTCAACTGACAGTGAAATCGTAAGTGCCTGGTGTGTGGTAACGGTGCAGCAGGAGGCCCGTGGCAGTCTGTAAATCCTGCTCTGCAGAATGGTTAATCTCTGGTACTTTGAGGTTCTTGTCCTCTCTGCGGAGGAATTTCGTGGGCAGAAGTGCTGGAGTTGCGAGCCTGAAGCCTGCTATTGCTCTGCTGCGCCACAAGTCCCGTGGCTGCTACTTCACTGCTCCGCTGGGGATTTTGGGTCTTGTGCAGAAGTGTTACACAGTTCAGAGCCGAGGTGGTTCTCCCCCTCAGAAGGAGGGAGAAATGTGCTTTTGGAAACAGAGGAGCCTCCTTATTTCCTGCTGCTCCAGCTGGCATCCTTTTGCTGGCCGACTCGATCTTGCTTTGCATCTAGCTCAAGCTTCTGTTCCTGGCCTCGGAGCCCAGGCCAGCCTCATTTCTTCTTGCTTCTGTGTGTGCCTGCTCATTTCTGCTCTTTTATTACTATTCTCATCCTTGCACCTTTGTCAGCAGCCCCCTGAGCAGCCTTCTCCCCTCTGGGTCCAGATGTCCCCTTCCTCCAGTGCCTCCCCGGGCTGTTTGGTGCCGATCTGGTGCAGAAGCGTGCGGTGGAATACAGCCCTCTCCCACACGTTCACCTTTCCCAGGGTCAGATCTTCAGACAGCCTTTGTGACTATAGTTGGTCTGTCTGATTTAGACTGTAAGTCCCTTGTGGCAGTAGCGTGTTCTCCTCTGTGTATTGTACGGCACTAAGCATGCCGATGGTATTCAGTAAATAACAGTAAGAGATTGTGGGAATGTTCTGAGGCCTTTGTGTATCTGCATAAATAGAAACCTCTTAGGGCAGGAAATAAAACTTGAGCAATTTATAGCTCTAAATCCTGCCACTTCTGCCTGTGAGAAGCCCCCGGCTCTTTTCTCACGTCGGGAGGGCCTGAGGATGGGGGAAGACAATCGGTGAGAGCCGGCGGGTGCAGAGGAGTAAGTGCTGAAAACGCTTGGGAAGGATTTGGTTCTCGCCTGGGCTCTGCTCATTGCTCTTTGGGCCCTGAACCTGTCACTTTGCTTTCCTCTCCCATCTGTGCAGCCAGGAGAGCAGGGACCCGCTGGTTCTCCAGGGGACGTGGGTTTGCTGGGTCCTCTGCTTTCCGCACCTCCTGCTTGGAGTGCGGGGATGTGATGGGAAGCGGAGGGCATCTGGAAACCCTCCAGTATCAGCAGCTCCCCAGCAGCACCCGTCACCCCCTCTGCCATCCCGCCAGGGTGTCTTCTATCAAGTCTGAGGAGCTGGTACCCGTGTCGTAACGCGGTGGGAATAGCCCTGCTCCCGGAGGTGTTAGGGGACACCTTGCCGCAGCAAAACCAGAGCTCTTCCCCCTGTGACTGTTCTCCCTCCTGCCTTCTCAGCTGCGCCTCTTTCTCATGCCCTTGGCCTTGGGGCTGCTCGCTGAGGCTGGGCGCTGGCACAGGGACTGGGATGCAGCTGCACAGTTCATGTTTGGGGCAGGATGGAAACAGCAGCTTTGGCTCTGGGCCCCCCCCCCCTCGTTTTGAAGGTCCAAATGCAGTTGTGTATTAAACCAGCTCAACTACAATCTAACTGCCCTCCCCCCCACCCCACGTTCACTTCTGCGGAGACCATAGCGTGGAGGTGACAAAGCTGCTGGAGCCTGCTGGGGTAATTGCTTAGGAACTGTGTGGCTATGACGTGGGGGCTAAACTCATTCTCCCCCTCCCACCCTTTCTCTTCCAGCAAAAAGATGGCACCTTTGCTGCTGGGGGTTATATGCCCCCGCTTCGGTTCAAAGCCCTGACGCTGGCTGTTGTGTTTGGAACCATGGTAGGAGGCATCATGATCCCGAATGGTGAGTGAGGACTTGGGGGCAAGGCTGGCTGCCTGGCTGTTTTCTCCGGTCTCTTTTATTTGCTCTTCTGGGTGGGATGGCCAGGCCCACTGGGCTCACGCCCCAGCCTGCCCAGGGGCTCAGGCAGCCACCACATGCTGCTGCTCTGGCTGTCCTGGAAAGGGGACTTTGATGACTTCTCTTCTTCTTTTCCAGTGGAAACAGTCCTGGGCCTGACAGGTGCTACGATGGGAAGCCTCATTTGTTTTATCTGCCCAGCTCTTATTTACAAGAAGATCCACAAGAATGTACTTTGTTCACAGGTCAGTGCTGATGCTCCTCGACATCCCCCTAAGCCCTCTGCAGAGCCTGGGAAAGTAATTAATTTGGGTGCAGCAGAGAAACTGCTCGGCACCTCTTCCAGCCTCACCCTCCAGTCTGCCCAGTACGGGTGGGAGCCATTCTGGTCGGCTGCTCTGAGCAGCATCGCTTTGGGCATGCAGACAGCAGCAGAGGAGGTGCTGGCCCAGTGCATGGCCTGCCCCGTGCTGGAACACCAGCTCTTTTTGTCCCTCCAGCAGCAAAGCATTAATTTGGTGCATAAAATGCTGCTTCCAGTCCACCTTCTGGTGGGCTTTGGGTTCTGTACCCGCAGAATGGGAAATCCAGGCAGCCTATAAAACCTTAACGGGCTTTACATCCAAACCTGCCTGGGCTGGGTAAAATAAACACGGTTTCTCAGCGATGCGGTTCTTGCTGCTGACCCTCAGCTTTCTGGTTTCAACCAAACTAATAATAAAAAGGAACACACACATAGAGGTGTTGCTTCAGGAATTGATTTTTTAAAAATTGGGGTCGTTCAGAGGCTGTTAGATGTTTTAACTTTTCCTTTTGCTCCAGTTTGAATTGGCCTCCTCGGGGACCAAAACAAAGTGGCTCTTTGCTGGGCTCCATCTCTCTGATTCTGCAAATGCTGTGCTTTTGGGGGGCTGAAATTAACGTCTTTTGTTTTGGTTTTTTTTCCTAACAATAACTTAATCCACTGCCTTTTAGCAGGCCTCTTCCCCAGCATCACTAGTCACAACAGTGCTGGGCTGGGAATAAGGTTTTCGGCAAACTGCAGAGTCAGCAGGGGGAGAGCACGACATTTTTGTGGGTCCTACAGAACTAATGGCTTTTTCTGTGTTTAATGACTTGTGGGTTTGCAAATGTACGTGAAGTTTTTAAGCCGGGTGTATTTTTTTTTTTTCTTTCCCCACGCTTTTTCTGACACAAGGAAATAGTCCAACTTTCCAGCTTTCACTCTGAATTCTGACACTTTGGTCCTAACTTCTTTGACTGAAACCCCAAGCAGGAGTCTGAATGCCAGCCTGGATTTTTCAGGGAAACAAAGAGCACTTTCAAGAATCGCTTTCTATTCCGGCTGAGCCAGAACCTTTTCTCTGCAGTGCCTTGAAACTGCACTTAGGATATGTGCTGAGATCTTAGAGTGGCTGCCCAGAGGCGACTGTCAGCTGCCTGGGGTTGAACACTGGGGCCCTCACAATGCTTGACCTGAAACGCTGGTCACAAGGCTGGTGAAGATGTTTGTCCTGCAGAAATCCCCACAAAGGAATAAGGGCTTATCTGAAGCATCAGCCCCCAGGTTACCCTGGCATTTCAAGGGGCTGGTTGCAAGCTGTCCAGCCTTCTCTCCTTCTCTTGAATGATCCATCGCCTGTCAAGTTTACATACTTGCTTTGACCGATGCTCTGAAGTGCTGCAGCAAGGGCACACCTGCCTTTGGAAACGCGCTGGGCTGCAGAGCACCTCCCCGCCTCCGCTCTGGAGCCAAAACCTGGGCCCACCCTTTCCTCGTTCCTCCGGGTCTTCTGCAAAGACTCATTTATTCTTTCCCCGAAGCTCTGTCTTCAGTCTCCTCCTTCA